CAGGGAGGCTGCATCTAGCTCCAGCTGTGCTGGAGCAAGCTTCCCAGGCTGAGCGCAGGATCACAGATGCCCATCTGATGGACTGTATACGACTAGCAATCTCAGACTACAACCCAGACTTCAAGACACTGGCAGATACTGTTCAGTCACAGGTGTCACACTGAGACTTTGTTATTGGAAGAAAAATATATAATTATCAATACCTGATTTTAGATTTACAAAATAGCAGAGAACAGAATGTATAATTGTAAATGCTTCATTTGACATTTAAATAGCATGAATTAAAAACAGACCATTTATTTCATAACTATAAACATGTGATTTTAATTTTATATATTGCATAATTTAAAAAAAACTGTTTAACAGAGTGTATCAGGGCTGGGGATAGCAAGTGATGGACAGGAGAATAGAGAGTGTGGGGCTTCAAGGAAGGGGCGGGGCGGTAGATCTTTACCTGTTCTGAGACTTAAAAAGTGAGTTTGGGTGTAAAAAGGTTGGAGACCACTGCGCCTAGGCTCTTTGTTCTAGATCAGGGGTGGGCAATAATTTTAGATGGAGGGGGGCACTTCAGAAATTTCTGAAGTGGCTCTGGGCCACCCCAGAAGGAGTAGGGCCATGAAACTTCTGTGCTTCCCCGCCCATAGATCCTGATTGGCTTGGAGGAGCAGTGAAGTCTTTGCCCCCACCCTCCCAGAGAACCGCCAGCTGTTGACTAAGCACCATTCCCCCTGCCTCCAGGTCAGAGTCTGGGGGCAGGAGAAACGCATAAAGTCTTCTCCCGCCCTGCACAGGGCACATGGAGCTTAGAGGCTGCCTAGCTGGCAGCTGACTAAGCCCCACACACCTCTTGCAGGGTGGGGGCAGGGCAGAAGGAGCCTTTGCGCATTTCCCTGTCCTTAGGCCATAATTGGCCCAAAGGCAGGGCATACACGGGCCATATCAACCCACTTGGCAGGCTGGATCCAGCCCGCAGAGGCCCTTTTGTCCTCCCCTGTTCTAGATGAATGCCCTGGCATCTGGCCATATTGAAATGCATAGTGTTTGCTTGTGCCCAGTTTATCAAACAATCCAGATCACACTATCAGTGACCTGTTTGCTGATTATTTACCACTCCCTCAATGTCTGGAGTGTCAAATTTAGTATTTTCGACAAGGTCATGAAAAAAAGTTAAATAGTGCAGTGCCAAAAAAACAACCCCTATGACTATTCAGTCCAACCAGTTCTGAAGCAGTAGCCACTATAGTAGCGAACCAGCACCACTCAACCGGCAAAACAGCCACATTGTTCAAGCCAACTAGCCACACTCAACCACGCAAATAGTCACATGTGGCTAGAGTGCTGGACAACACAGCCCTATGGGATCCCATTAGAAACACTATGGCTCAATCATGATTCCCCATTTGAGACCTATCGTTTAGCCAGTTTTAATTCCATTTCACATATGCCATGTTGATTTTGTATCATTCCAGTCTATTAATCAAAATGTTATGCAAAATCAAGTTAACTATTTTACAGGAGTCTATGTATATTGCATCAATGCTATTACTTTTATCTATCAAACTTGTAATTACATCAAAAGAAATACCAAGTTTGATGGGTTGTTTTCCATAAACGTGGGGGCTACGTCTACACTGGCCCCTTCTTTGGAAGGGGCATGCTAATTTTGAACTTGGGAATAGGGAAATCCGCAGGGGATTTAAATATCCCCCACGGGATTTAAATAAACATGGCCGCCGCTTTTTTTCCAGCTTTTTCCAAGCCAGAAAAAAAGCGGTGGCCATGTTTATTTAAATCCCGCGGGAGATATTTAAATCCCCCGCGGATTTCCCTATTCCCCAGTTC